GGGGGGGGGTTAGGAGTAGATAAAAGTGCAACAATGAATGAATGGAAATCCAAAGTCTCTGTAAATTTTCATTGGAATGAATAATAAATTTTTTAAAAAGTCAACAAAAACAAAAAACTCAAAGTGGACTGGAGGAGGGGGAAGGGAAGGGGAAGGAGGAACATGTGCAAAAAAGAACAAATTAAAACCCAACTTATCTGTAAACTTTCATCAAATCACAAGAATTATTTTCTTTTTTTAAAAAGTGATAGTCTTGAAAACCCTAAAGAGTACGGTTCTATCCGGACACACACAGGGTTGCCAAAACTCAGAAGTGATTTGACAGCAACTAACAATAAGGGTTCTTGGGTAGTGCAGAGGGTTTGTTCCAGGCTATGAGTAAAAAGAGACTACATCTCAGTTTCAAAACTCCGAAATACATTTACTATTGAGTCAGAACCAACTCATAGCTGACGCTCCAGTGGGTTTTCAGAGGCTTTGGACTGCATGGGAGATTACTTATCCTTATCATTTAGAACAACTGGTGGACTCAAAACACCTGCCTTTGCGTCAACAGTGCAACTCCTTTCCTACTGGGTCACCAGAGTTTCACCTCAAAAGAACAAAACCCCTCACCGCTGGACCAGTAGGTGACAGTACGACTGATGAAGAAGATTGAAGCTGTCAAAGGCAACTTGATCCACAAGCAATACCCATGATAGCAGCAGTCAAGCAAGAAATCCAAAAATACAAAACACTGGGAAAATCTCCTGTCAAAAGCCTCTCCAAAGCGCTAATAACGAACGAATGAGGATATTTTTTTAAAGGTTTAAGATGTGCCTGATTCATGCCATGGTATTTTCAATCGCTGCCTACCTGATTGATACAAAGTTAGACAATGAATAAGAAAGAAAGAAGTATCCCATGAACTGTCAAAATAACAAATCTGTCTTGAAGAAAAGTGCAACCAAGGTGCTCCTTAGTGTCAAGGATGCCGAAACTTGATATGCTCTGAACATGTTGTCAAGAGGGTCCTTAAAAAGGCATCATAATGAAAAAAAGGAAAGGGACAGAGAAAAAGGATGAATGTCAGAAGATGGACTGACACCGTAACTAACAATGAACTTGACTGAGCATGGCAGAGATGGTGAAGACGGTACAGATAGGGCCATTCAAAGAAATCCCTGGTATTTTGCACCAAAACATTTAATAGTTATCCCCAGGCAAAATTTTCATTCCATTTAAAGACAGAAGATAAATCACTCAGTGTTCAAATATCCATAAAATCTAATAGCTATTTTTAAACTAAATGGTTATGAGGGGGTTAAGGGGTGTGAAACATATTTGCTTTATTTTTCTGAGGTTGCCATTGCAGTCCAGGAAATAAATTCTGTAAAGAAAGTAAAAAAAAGAAAGAAAGTCTGTAAAACTTGTGAACAAACGAGGAAGGGAAAATTTTTTAAAAGGGGGATGGGAGCCACAGGGGGGTTCTAAAAAAATCGAACGTGTTACACTTTTCCAGAGGCATACTTAATCTGAATGAATAAAGCACACAGCTACAGCACGAGCGCCATTAATTAAATGACGTCCTGTTCTCCGAACTTTAATCCCTACCGGAGGGTACAGATTCGGGTCGAAGGCACACGTTCAGGGCCCCGCTGTTAGGAAACAGAGTTAAAGGCAAGGCAGGCTGCAGGCGAGGAAGGCAGGCTGCAAGCTTCCAGGAGGAGGCGGGGCGGCCGCCGCCAGGTGCACCGGGTGTCCCCGCAGCGCTTACCTCCAGCGGGACCCGGACCCTCGGAATCCCCCGGCGTGTCCATGGTGCTGCGTGGACTCGGGCTCCTCCGCTCCGCGGCCCGGGAGCTCTCGAACTCGACCTGCACGAGAAGCCGGGAGGGCACGAGGACAGGCCGATGGCAGTACTCAGCCGGGTCCTGGCCTGCATGAATCCACACCTGCAGCGCCCAGGCCCCAGCCACCTGGCTTTCAGGTAGGACAAAACCCTCAGATCCCTCCCGGCAGGACAGG